GAGGACCTGGTTAGTAAAGATTGTTGGAATTAATTGAATTTGATTTGGGTTTAAAATATTAAATGTAATATTTAATGATGTGGCTCATTACAATTAATTTGGGTGAATTGGAAAAGTCTTCAATATAGGCCCATATATTGATAAATTCATTTTAAGTGTTTTTTTTTATGAAAAGGAGTTCCACATCGAAAGTTTACAAGAAAATAGTCTTGTTTATATAGTGGGTTGTGTGAATAATATATAATTTAATAAGTTACCTACCACTTGGCTAACTTTAGCTAGTCAAAGGCTAGTCCCCCTAGAGTGGTGCTTCGCACCACTAGCACCGCTCCCTGGACTCGGACCCGGCACGTCGCAAAGTACGCATTGGGCGCTTTAGAGGCGCACGTACGCATCGTCGCGAGGAGTTGGGGAGCCTTATAGTTTTCGGAAATGGACTCGTGGTTCGATGACATGGCAACGCAAGGCTCGGTGAGTTGACATTCTAGGTGGCGCACGCGTGGTAGGTCGCGTCCCTTCGTCCTGCGTGACGATTAGATGTACGTGTGACATCCGCATGGCTGTGACTGTTCAGAAATTGGTGAATAGGCATGATGAATGGACACTTCACTTCATGGTTCAATCTGGGCCATCAGATCATGAAGATAGTGCAATCCAATAGCTAAAACGAATCAGACCAAGTGGTGCACCAGTTCCTGAAATGTCACACACTTTTTCCATGAGATACTTCAATCTCTATAAATAGAGAACCCCAGATTCGTTTTTGACACACCAAATCAATTACGAATTCAATTGATTTCTAAATTCTTCTCTCTTCATATTCTGCTCAAAAAAAAAATCTCTTATATTTTCGTGGTTATTCCGTTTGAGTACGATCTTTCATTGGTTCGACCGACAAGGTTGGTATTGTACAGTATCGACTTTGGAAGGAGCGTTGTATCTTGGGAGACAGACGTCCATAATCCCATTTGCACTTCATTGGGGAGTGAAATCTGTCTTAAGGAGATTTGTTTTGGCATACCTCGCTTCATCTTCTATTTTCAAATTTTTTTCTGCTTATTTTATTTGTTCTTTTGATTACGTTAGTCGAATTACCGACAACAAAGATAACATGCAGTGTTGTCGCACAAGCATAGCATCTTTCTAGTTTTGCCCTTAGGTGGGATTTACAAGAATTATGTCTTCAGACTTCAGCAATGATGTCACTCCACTCTACTAATAAATAATTTATTACTACTATTATTTGTTTGTTCTCGACTTTGTTTGATACTTTGATCTCATAAACCTTAGGTTTGAGATGGAGAAAAATTCGCCTAATACAGTGGATTTTATTAATTGATTTTGGTAGGGATTTTATTAATTGATTTTTTGACCGTTAGAAATAAAGTGGATCCTATTTGTGAAAAAAAAATTCAAAAATGAAGGCTGAAATAATAAAATAACGGACAAAAAATTTATTTTAATTGGATTTTAAACTGCCCCAAACATGCTCACAATTGAGTCAACTCAACTAAATTAAAATTTTACAAAATAAAATCTAAGAATTGATGAGAAAAAACTTTAATCTCTCTACAAATGGATTTTTTTTTTTTTCTAAATCTTTAAAGTACGTACTTTCATGTCAAAATTGGCTCCAGGAGTTTAAACTTTCATATCTAGATTTTCATCTCCTTGGCTACCTTATCTTTAGCTTGTTTCAAGTGATTGTGACATCCCGTAGTTATTTCTAAAAATGTTAAATTGGACCAATAAATATAGATTTTTTTTTTTTTTTCATTTTCAGAAAATAGTGCCCGACACGGCCTTAGAGTTATTTGGGGGCAATCCAAGTCGACATACGTATCTAATTTGCGTAGAGCTATGGATTAAAAGTGGGAGCTGAATTTATTTTTACACCTCTGTCGAATAAATGAGATTATAATAATATCTTCTTCTTTTTTGTTGTTTAGTCTTGATTAACTTTCTGAAAGAAG